TGCCGGTTAAGGTGCACCGAGAGTGTGTGGACTGGAGTGAATTAATATATATAAGTCAATATTATTTAGCACATATATAGAGAGAGCGTGACCATGTGAATGTTCGTTCGACAAAAAGCTACCATTTAGTTAGTGCGACATGTGTGAGGTTAGCTAAAATTAGAAGTTATCTATTACTTAGTTATTCATTTTATTAAACTTTGGTTGGGACCGTGACAAATATGATAAGGGAGGGAGGATATTGAGTGTTGACCGAGGAATGATGGAATTTTAAAATGTAAATCAAAACCTATATCGAACAACATAGAAATGAAAAAAAATATAGTACTTAGAAGGAGGCAATTCCGGGAGAAAGACCCTTAGGATTAAATTCGGAAAAACCAATTTCCGACCTCGCTGGGATTCGAACCCACGATCCCCGGAACTGCACCACCGATGCTCTACCTGCCGAGCTACAAGGCCAGACTGGGAACAGGTCGGGGTGAATTAGATGTTAGGTTGCGGTAATAGAATAATGTAAAGATATGAACATGAGGACCGCATGGCACTATAGTAGACACGATATAGAAATGAAAGAAAGTTATAGTGCTTAGTAAGGAGGCATTTCCGGGAGAAAGACCCTTAGGAATAGAATTCAGAAAAATTAATTTCCGACCTCGCTGGGATTCGAACCCATGACCTTCGGATTTGTACTACCGCTGCTCTACCAGCTGAGCTACAAGTCCAGACTGGGAGCAGCTCTCCACCATCATATAAAGGATGGAGTGTTGAGCGGGATTGAGAGCGAGGGAGACAAAGTCTTATGGCTTGAAAGAACGTGACAATGTCCATGTTGATTATGTTGCGGAGGGTGGGGTAACTCATGCATAATTTCAATTTGAAACTGTTAGTATACTTACCAGCAGCATTCCCAAACACTGGAAAAATCGCGCGCCATAAAGGTTGTAAATTTGATGTAAATATTTCATCATATGTAAATCATATTTCATCATATTTCCATCAAATTTACAACCTTTATGGCGCGCGATTTTTTCCAGTGAATGATCAATGAATGCACTGTCATTGATCTCTTCTGTTTTATTTCACAGTTGACGCCAGAGAACTTAACAGCAGCCAATATGAGCCAAACAGAATACGAAGATATTGATATTGAAAATATGGTGGACATGGTAAACCAAATTTCGTCTTCAAAAGAGCCATCAGAAAAACAATATGAAAAATTATACCAAGACATAAAAAAATTCTTCAAAGAAAATCCAAACGTCAAAGAGGCCATTAAAGCGTACTTCAGCCACATTCTTCCACTAATTTTGAGTATGTGTCCCAACGAATATGACAAACAAAAGGTTTTTGAGATTTTACTCTGTCTTTTTAACAATGTAAAGCGACGCTTCCTAAAAAGAGCTTTTAATGCCCTTCCGAAATGCAGCTTTCCAGCTAAAGAGCTGTCCAAGGGCACAGCCGGAAAATTTGCGGCGAAAGCAGGATTAAGAGCGGCAGGTGTCTCAGCATTGATGGAATGCTTTTTACTATACACCGAGTACAACGAGAACAAGGAGCTTCTAAAGAGTGGAAAAATCAGTGGCGAAGAATCCCGAAAAATGTTGAATGGTTCCATTGGTAAATCTGTTTTGACGGTCGCGGGTAATGGTGTAGCAGGATATGCCGCAGCCGCAGCCGCAGCTGTTGCATCTGGTCCTGTGGGATGGGCACTCGTTGGAGCTGTAATGTTTGAAGGATGCGTGTTCTCGTATATGTGTGGAATAGTTGGTCGTGATATCGGTGAAAAATTATAGATTGAAACATCAATATAACCTACCTGCACTGCTGACACGTAAAAAAAACTTTATAGACAATGGAGAGTCAATGTCTTGATATTTGTAATTTTTTTGGCTCGCATGATCGCATGAATTGCTCAAACATCAGTTTATTCATTGTAGAAAAAAAAACTGTACTATTAGGGTATAGAAATGAAAGAAAGTTATAGTGCTTAGAAGGAGGCAATTCCGGGAGAAGTCCCTTAGGAATAAATTCGGAAAAATTAATTTCCGACCTCRCTGGGATTCGAACCCACGACCTTCGGATTTGTACACCGATGCTCTACCAGCTGAGCTACAAGGCCAGACTGGGAGCAGGTCGGGGTGAAATAGATGTTAAGGTTGCGGTAATAGAATAATGTAAAGATATGAATATGAAGACCGCATGGCACTATGATAAACACGATATAGAAATGAAAGAAAGTTATAGTGCTTAGAAGGAGGCAATTCCGGGAGAAGTCCCTTAGGAATAAATTCGGAAAAATTAATTTCCGACCTCGCTGGGATTCGAACCCACGACCTTCGGATTTGTACACCGATGCTCTACCAGCTGAGCTACAAGGCCAGACTGGGAGCAGGTCGGGGTGAAATAGATGTTAAGGTTGCGGTAATAGAATAATGTAAAGATATGAATATGAAGACCGCATGGCACTATGATAAACACGATATAGAAATGAAAGAAAGTTATAGTGCTTAGAAGGAGGCAATTCCGGGAGAAGTCCCTTAGGAATAAATTCGGAAAAATTAATTTCCGACCTCGCTGGGATTCGAACCCACGACCTTCGGATTTGTACACCGATGCTCTACCAGCTGAGCTACAAGGCCAGACTGGGAGCANTCCTTCTAAGCACTATAACTTTCTTTCATTTCTATATCGTGTTTATCATAGTGCCATGCGGTCTTCATATTCATATCTTTACATTATTCTATTACCGCAACCTTAACATCTATTTCACCCCGACCTGCTCCCAGTCTGGCCTTGTAGCTCAGCTGGTAGAGCATCGGTGTACAAATCCGAAGGTCGTGGGTTCGAATCCCAGCGAGGTCGGAAATTAATTTTTCCGAATTTATTTCTAAGGGACTTCTCCCGGAATTGCCTCCTTCTAAGCACTATAACTTTCTTTCATTTCTATATCGTGTTTATCATAGTGCCATGCGGTCTTCATATTCATATCTTTACATTATTCTATTACCGCAACCTTAACATCTATTTCACCCCGACCTGCTCCCAGTCTGGCCTTGTAGCTCAGCTGGTAGAGCATCGGTGTACAAATCCGAAGGTCGTGGGTTCGAATCCCAGCGAGGTCGGAAATTAATTTTTCCGAATTTATTCCTAAGGGACTTCTCCCGGAATTGCCTCCTTCTAAGCACTATAACTTTCTTTCATTTCTATATCGTGTTTATCWYAGTGCCATGCGGTCTTCATATTCATATCTTTACATTGTACTATTAGGGACCGTTCATTATCCATCGGAAGGGGGTGCAGGGCGGGATGGGTGATATGTGGGGAAGTGTATATTTTTTATCAGTCTTAAATGGGGGTCTTGAAATCATTTCTGAGTTGTTTGGGGGCTCTTCAAATTTAATAAAAATACAAACATTGATTGCAAAACCAATTCAACTTGAAACAGGTACTGATACAGGCAATTCAGAGAATGACAGAGAATGACTAAAGTGCTCTAATGCCAGAAAACCTTTAGCCTCAGGTAAGGGGGTTCCTAGAAAAAAAACACCTCTAATTTTGGGGTGACTGCCCGAAATTATATTTTGAATTTTACTTAAAATAACCCAACCCACTCCCCCTATAAATAATGAGCGGTCCCTTAATATAGGAAATAACATAGCGACCAGTTTGCTGCATGAAGAACTAATGGATAGAATTTTCAGTTTTGTCTTTCGCTACTGAAGTTTATGATATAAATATATGAGTGTTGTAAAGCAAATAGGCCCTAAAGAACACGCCCACGACCAGTGCTCTCTAGCGTAGAGACTCGAGACCAAAAGGGACCTTATCAGCTTAAGTACCTTTTACAATAACATCGCTCATATATACAGCTGTTTGCAATAATTCTGACCCCCTCTGCCATATTTYATATATATCAAASTGACYTTWRATATTATGGGATATCATGACTGATATAWTTTTTGAGTTGCCCAGAATCAGTACTTTCTAAAAAAAAATTATCACCAATGGCATCCCATAATTTCTATATTAGTGTGTGTGTGTGTGTGGGGGGGGGGTCAGAATTATTGCAAACAGCTGTATACATGTATAATATATATATAAGTAGAATGAAATAGAACAAAACACCAACTTGAAGCTATAATAACTCTGTTTATTATATTATGTATATATATACCTTTAATACTTTTCCTACTTTCTGCATGTTGTAATATTTCTAATGTCACATCTCTGGTGCTTACTTATAACACAAAATATTAGTACTTCTTGAGAGCTTTTAATCTATGTACAACCATAAAGGTCAGTCGTTGTATTAAGGTCATATATCTATAATTATGACTTGTGGAACACACGCTCAGTTTATTCTTATGTAATCTGACGCATATACTTGTATACGCAGCACTAGCTG